TGATAAAAATGTGCATTTTCTGTTTTTTGAAGCTGATTATTTCAAAGACATTGTAGAATGAATGTGTTTTTATATATTATTGTGTCTTTAGGCTTAAAGCAGACATGCTGACTGTTGACTCTAAAGGTTATTTCAGTAAATCTGAAAGCATGAACTGTGGACAAAGCAATGGTCTCTCTTCCTGTATGAGTTTGGTAGATTTCATGTGTTATGTTACACATGTGGGCAGTCACGAACACTCACCTGATTGTTCTCGGGGTTCATGACTCTAAAAGGTTTGAGAATTGCTGTATTAGTGGGCTAATCCTGTATTCATAGAAACACTATGTTTTAAAAGTATGAAGGCAAATGTATGAAAACAAAGAATAACAACATTGAATTTTTTTTTTTATGACTGAGGATTGGAAATTTAAACTCAATTAAACAATAAGAAATGAAAATGTTAAAAAATATTTTCATCAAAGCCACAAGGAGCCTCTGGTAAGGAGGTAAATGTGCTCTGGAGCCAACACCTGGTTTAGGCCTATCTGTCTACAATGGTGGAATGTAACTAAGTACATTTACTGTACTTAAGTACAGCAAATATTGCACGTTTTACTCCTCTTAACAGATTTCAACTTCTCATACTCTTCCAGTATCCAGAAAGATGATGGTAATGGTTTAAAGTAACAACACTGACTGTTGTTAGGAGATGGAATCAAACCTTCGCCTCTTTAAGTGTAGTTACATTTAGGCAACTAAAACTATTTGCTTAAGATAAAGCAAAGATTGTAGTCATGGTAAATGAGGTGTCAAAGTCAGACAGTCTGTACAGAACTGTAAGCACGTCTGTCCACATCTAGTAATTAACCATTCACTAAAAAGCTCTATAAAGTATTATTTAACATGCAACAGCGTTAGGAGTCAATTGCATTTTGCAAAAGAAGGCTGAATCGCATTGAAATGACTGATGGAAAACAAATACAACAGTACTTTTTCACAAGAACTACTTCCCATTATTGGACAGCAGGTAGTTTCCCCTGCGGACCTTATCATTTTTGGACAAGAAGTTCTTGCTCATGATTCTGCAACAGAAAGTGTTGAATCCATCTAAAACACTGAGCACAAGAAACCTAAAGACATTTTAAGTTTTTCTTTACCATGTCCCTTTAGAGGATCCATACTTATGTGTAGTTGTGCGAACAAAAAGTGACAATGTAGCATCTAATTCAGAGTAAGACATGGTCATTGGCAAAAGATGGAGCAGAGAAGTTTTGACCAAACTGCGACTTTAATATGAACATTACTGCCATTTGGCTTTGTTAGAAATCATCAAATGTTAATATATCCATTTTAAGTAGTAATAGGAAATAATGGTGTAATACTAGTGGCAGTTGTAGTGATTGAGTGGCTGTAATTCACGATGTAACCACAAGTCATGAGTCTTAAAAATTGTGAAAGAGTTACTTTACCATGTATGGTGCCAGTTAGGAGCATGACTTTGTTAAAATGAAAGAAATTATTGCAACTGCAGCAATGCACCACAAGATGCAACACTAATCTTACTGCAGTCTCTGTATCCATATACCTTACAAGCATTTACCAGTTTACAGTAGTGCAATGTACATTTACTGAAGTATTGTACTTAAGTACAAAATCGAGGTACTTTGCTTCCGTATTACCATTTTATGCAACTTTATATTTCTACTCCACTTCATCTGAGAGGCATATGCTGCATTCATATGTGTGTGCACAAAATCAAACTCACACTTCCCAGCTGCAGTAAAGTCTCTGGGCACCAGTCCAGACAGTATATGGTCACTATGGTACTCCTCATAGCCCACACATTATTTTAATATTAGATAATGATTATCTTGTCTCTCAGTCAAGGTTCAGTTACAACACTGTAATGTGAGATGGACAGCAATAGACTGACATTGACAATTGATTAAATGTTGAATTTAAATGTTGATTAGCTGGGCATACTGGGCAATACGGATACACACCTCTCAGTAAATAATAACCATCAAATGTTCAGTCAACCCATAGTATAAATTGTATTTTATATTTGAAAATGTATAAAAGGAAATCTGGGGGAGTCCATTTGAATTGGCCTCAAAGCTGCAGCCTGTAAATTTAGGAATGGATTAATTATCAGGCAGCAGAACCAAATATCAGGTTTTAGTTTTTATTAATTTCTACATTTATATTTTCTTCAATGTTAATGTTCACTTAATATTCTATATAAAAATTCTATTGACTAGATATTGTTTATTTATACCTCATCCCGTTCTGTAAAGATCTAGTCATTCTTAGACCATATGAAGCAAATGGTTTTAAAGGACTGAAACTTTCATTTCCAGCATAAGAAATCACTGGTGGAGCAAAATACCAAAACATGTGCAATGCACTTTTGTTTTAATGTGAAATTTTTTAGTTTTTGTGTGTACTTCTTCTTGAGTTGTGTACTAACCTCACCTTCTCATTTCAGATCCACTCACTTCCTGCCCTTGTGTGTTTTCCCACTGTTCACAATTGCTCGTACCGCCCTGGTTGCCTCCCTCTGTGTCTGATTACCCACCCACCCGTAGAGTATATATTCCCTGTGTTCCTTCCCTTCTGTGCCACTTCGTCTTTGGGTCAAGCGTTCCAGTATTCCCTTGTGTTTCTTCTGCATTGGTTTTTGGGTTACTGCTTTCCTTTTTGGACTTGTTTGCCTGATTAACTGGATTTCTGTGTCCTGCACATTGCAGGTAAATAACTGTTTTGCTGGGCTCTTGTGTGTTAAGTTGTGCTATTAAGTCCTTTATCCTGGTTCAACTATAATTATTGTTTGTTTCAGAACCATGAGTGTAAACTTCCTGTCCAAAGATCAGGAGCTCCGCAAGGGAGATTACCTGATGTCCAACAACAAGCAGTGGAAGGCTATCTTCCAGGTGAGTAAACCAGAATATTTGCAGTCCAAAAGTTCATCAAAATTCATATTTACTAGCCTGTCTGGTTCTATTGCTATATTTTGATAATAGCCAAATATCTGTTTCTGCCTGCAGAACGATGGTAACTTTGTCATCTACGGCTGGAAGCCTGTGTGGGCTTCAGACACTTATGGGACAGATGTTTTCCGCCTGGTCATGCAGGAAGACTGCAACCTGGTCTTGTACAACAAGGATGAGCAAGCCAGGTGGCACACAAACACACATGTGAATGGTGATTTCAGAAGCCGTCTTCAACTGACCGATGACGGCAAACTGTTGGTGTACAAGGCAGGAGAAGAACTTTGGAGCTCTGCTAACTCCAAAGGCATAAAGCACTGAGATTGCAAGCCTTTTTAAATTGAATGCTCTGTAATTGAAATTATGTTTGGATGTCAGTGTGAATTACAGTGAACCTGACTGCCATGTAATCTGGAATCAAATAAAAACACATGTTAACAATGTATACATGTGTCTTTGCTCTTTTTGTACTGTAAAATAGGCCAGACTCTGACATTTGACATCTGTCATTAAAAACTACATATATGATACAAATGTGAAACTTTAAAACAGCAACTGTTGAACACATGAAATAGACGCACTGCAGGATTTACTCTAAATTTTCTAACTCGAAACAATTAAAACAGGGAAACTGAGTTCTGTTATAGACAAGTTCAACTCTGTGGTAAAACTCAGGGAAGTTCTAGATAATTTACAACAAACAACATGGAAAACCTCAAATATTTCATCCAATGGTAGATAAATATTGCCTCTCAATTATTCAGATCTTTAAAATAAGTAAAACTTGTGATTCAATCATGTAAAACTATAAAGTAAAAGGTTGGCATTCAAAATCTTACTTAAGTATACAAAGTTACTGAACAAACACGTTTATGGGAATGTATTCAGATCTGTATATTATATAAAAATAAAAGGCAAAATCTATCCAAGATCCAGTCTGTAATCTTCTGCATGTATATATAAAAAAATCAATGACCTTCACCATACAAAGGTTAAACAAGTGTTTCTGTAAGGAGCAACTTTTATATGCTGTTGTAATTTGAACAACAATTGTAATCTGAAAATTGACTCGTAACTAAAGCAGTCAGACAAATATAGTGGAGTAAAAAGTACAATATTTTCCTCTGAGATGGAGTGGAGACTAAATAGAAAGCTGCATGTAAAGTGGTAATAATATTAAAGTACAAGTACTTCAGTAAATGTACTTGTTTACATTCCACCTCTATGAACTAGTAAATGCTTGTAATGTGTATGTGGATACAGTAGGATCAGTGTGACATCTTGTGGTGGATTGCTGAAGTTGCAATAATTTATTTAAACTAACTCATGCTCCTAACTGGCACCAGGTGGTAAAGTGAGCAATGAGTTTTAAGACTCTAGTTACATCCTGGTTCTTCAATCTCTTATACTGTCAGCAGTTACTTCTTTAATTTGGTACCAAACACT